TCAGCACAACAGGAAAGGTCCTCTGACTTTTAGTCAAAAGTTCCTAGGTCTGGGGTCTATTCGCAGATTAGTCTTTAATACCCCACTCCTTTAAGTGGGATATAAAACATAGCCTTCTGAGCTGGGTTAGAAAGCTGCCCTGGAGCCTGGTTTATCGGGGCTGGCCATCTCCGCTGACCAAACAAACATAATCATTGTCAAATCTCACCTTCTCTGTGTACTGAGAGTGCAGAACAGCCTAATCCAGCCTCCTGGGAGTCGTAACAGGGGCCTGGTCCAAAACTCTTTTAACATCATGAAGAACATTAAGACCAAAATCTTTTAAAGGCCAATGAGAAAGTCGTAATATATTTTTTTTAATTTTTGCTAAACTCAAAGGAGAAATCCCTACTATGAATTCAAGATTGGTACCAACAAAAATATTGGCAACACTCACCATAAGGAATGACATTTATGCAATGTTTTCCTAGTGAAGTAAAATTAAATGGCAACTGATCTGCCTCCTTTGATTTACCAAAGAGATAAAGTGAAAGGAGGAAAGAAAGGAGGGAAGGAATGAATTTAAAATGCAACAGTCACATAAGAATCTCAAACAACAAAAAGTTTGCAAATGCCGCAGTATTCTAGGGAATGCCTTTGTCTGTATGTCTTCCTCATGGATGAAGAGGTTAATGAGTGCCCCATGCCTGGCATAGAGCACTTAAAATGTTGAGGAGAGCACATATTACCATGTCATTCCTGAGTTATGAGGTTTCCATTCCACTTTGGTAAACATATTTTACCTATTTTAAAATTTAATACAAAATATTAAACTTACTGCATTAGTTATGGTCATATTTAAACCAGATCAAATAGGAGCCAGGGTTCCCTACAGAATTAAATAAACTAGGTTTAATAAGCGAAACGCACCTGCCCCCACTCCCACCACTGTCACCAGCTGTAGGAGGGACTCAGAGTCATGGGAACCCTCTCCCCTGAAGGCTTGTTTGTCGGGGTTCCTGAACCTTTTTCTGTTCTCCCCATGACCCAATATGCGCCCAAATAGAACCCGTTTCAGACAAATTGTAACCTCATTCCCATGTAAGTATATTTGTTTCCCCAACTACTTGTAGGTTGAAAGCTTTGTGGTCAAGGAGGCTGCCTTTAATATTTTGGGGGTATCTTCCCAAAGGTACTAGGGTAGAATTTTGCCTATAATAGGCACTTATCGAATTTTAATTGGCTGCTGATGGAACAAGGAACATCACTTTACCTCCACCCTGCTCTTTCATTGCCAGCGAGCAACCTCAGGCATGGAAAGGATTTTCAGACGGAGACTCCACCGAAAAAGTAAATTTTCCTACTTGGAACAAAGAGTTGGCTTGCTCCACACTCGCCTGGCTCTTTCCTACATAATTTCTCTCCCGTATATTGTGTGAGCTTGCCTCCCCTCCCCTTACCTCACTCAGTTATTTGAAGATAATAGAGTCCTCATGTTTTATCACACATGCCAAATACCATGCTTCGCACATAGTAGGAACGCAGATATTGACCAATTCATTGTCAGCTTTCAAATCACGACAACTTCAGGAGCAACTTGGAAAGTGACGGAGGAAGTAGGACCAAGTCCGCTCTTACAATCCTACTCTTGGCTTAGCTCCCCTGACTGAATTCCACTGGTTCTGCCCAAACTTAATGAGTGTGAAACCCCAACAACCATACATATTCAGGAATCAAGATGGATTTATGCAACATACCCCCCCTTTTAAGGTTTTCCTTATGTTGATTAAATTGTTCCACTTTTTTATGCCCCTAGACAATGGTTTTGTTTGTGAATCCAAGTTCCTAATGGACTAATTTGTTAAATGTATCAACATGCACCATATCTTGCAAAAAGAGGAAAAGAGATTGGTCTTTAATGTGGCACAAGCATATTTTTAGAAATATTTAAGATAATGGGACTAGAAAGAAACATTTTCACACTTCCCAAGGTCAGGGAATTCTTTCTCCACGTTTCAACATCTTAAGAACTTAACACGGACTGTAGGATTTGATAATGTGGCATCTAAAATTTCTTATGCCTTTACCCTATAATACTTCCCCATCTTTATAAACTTCAAGTCAACTAAAAGTAGGGCCATATCTGTCCAAAGGAAACCTGGTTCATTGCTGATTCTCAATAAAATGTATGCTTACTTATTTGTTTCTTAGGCTCTTTTTTTTTAAAAAAAGCTAATATAAACAACCTCCCCTTTGTATCAAGTTTTCAATTTGTTCTCAAACTTTCTAGAGTAGTGGCCAAATATAGATCCTTGTATGTGTTTATTGTAAAACCTAAAGAAATATATGCAGTTTAACCTATGTTAAAATTTCAAGTAGAGTTATTAATAAGCCAGAGGAGATTTCACAGGACAGATGGAACTTGGGATGGGAGGGTATCAGTGTAGTTAGAGGCATTACTACAGGATTGTTTAGAAGATGTTCTTAATATGACCTCTGAAACCCAAGAAACCAGAACACAGACCATTACAGACTTTAAATACATATGTACCCTCCCTGTCTTAACTTCAGGATTATTGTACTTGAAGACTGTAACTGGCTATACTTTGTCACAGTTCCGGTGGCAGACACAACAGGTCAGTGTGTAACTATAAATCCCGTTGAGTTTAGGGAGCACAAAATACATAATATACAACAGTGATTATTCAACCACCTTTTTCTTTTCTAAACTTGCATAGCAGTTGTCCATTTTCTGACACATCAACCAGTTTTAAAAAGAATTGCATACCTTTCTTATCTTCTATTATTACTGTAATTAAAATAATCTCATAAATATTTGTATTCACTGTGCCCCTCCCCCAAAGGGCAACAACCTAAGGAGTAGCCCAATGCCAGGGATGAAGCCTAGTCCTACCCTTCACGTTGCTGCCTTTTTTTTTTTTTTCATTTTAAACACGTTTATTTAAACAAGATGCTTGACGGGAAGGGAAAACTACCTAGGATTCATTTCTTTTAGAGCAACTTATCCCTACTTAAAGACCGATTGCCCTACATGTAACAACCATGTGCAGAAAAGTTATAAAATTGTCCTGTTTTACAGTAAGTGAAAAACATTAAAATTCTCCAATTGGACAAGGTGTGCAAGGACTTTAATAGTTTGCTGTTGTTAAACAGTGAGAGCAAAATAACTTACAGGAATATAAAGATAAGAGCTGAATGAGAACGCCACCAGTGGAGAAACTTACTTTGTTCAAAAAAATAATATCCTATGTATCAGCAGGACAGCATTCTTAGGCACTCTTATTTTTATGCACTAATTTAAATGACATCTAATTCCCTTTCTGATTCTTTTTTTTTAACTTTTTATAATTTTTATTTTTGTTTAAAGTATTACAGATGTCCCTTTTTCT